AAAATTATTTTAATTTCTAAATAATCATAGTAGTAATTCATATTTTTGCTAGATCCATGTAACTTGTATCTTATTTCCAAGAATTTGAGTTCATTATTTCACATTGCAAAATGTGAACATGAAGATTTCAAATTAGAAATAATATCATTTGTAAACAATAGCAATCAGTTAATTTTAAATGATTTGACTTTAATGTTTATGTCTTAAATCTAGTTCATTTCATTTAATATAATTTCATAGCGTAACATATGTTAGATTTCATATCAGAATTCTGCAATGTAAACATATAGTAGATTTTCCAGATTCTAATACACAAAACATGAGTCTCATCAAGATTGTTATGAGTAAAATCAAATTTTGGTTAAGTTTAGCTAATTAAATAAGGTTTAGTTAGATCCATTAGCCAAGAAAAAACTATCTTTTATTTTCATTATAGCAATATAGGTTTTTTTGTGTTTTGTGGAGTAACTCAAGCCTTGGCAAAGTATGTATCTCTTGTGTCAAAATTTTAAAAATGCACATCAAACTTCACAAAAATCCATGTGTGTATTAAACGTTTACATTTAATATTTAGATTACAATTTATGAGTTGTATTCACATAATTATATAAAACTAGATAAATGAGTTTTATATCATATTTATAACTTAAATTACTTCCTAAAAAATATGAATTATTTTAAGAAAATGTATATAGTAATCTACAAGAAAATTTATTAATTTATGAGTTTAAACTCAGATCACTATGTTCATTAAATGAAAAATATGAATAACAACACAGTGATCAACATTTCATCTTGTATATGTTTGAATCACAAATGTTGGTTGTGAAGTAATTTTCATTCAAAATTTCATAGAAAAATACAATACAACAACTCGATATTTGATATTTGAAATCGTGTATTAAAAAAACAATCATGTTTTATCTAAAATTATTATTTTTTTTATCTTTTTTGCTTACATTCATTTCTTAATAAAACATGAAATTACTAGTATTCCATTTGCATTCAAAAAAAATATAAAAAATATAAGTATGATTACGTTCATGCACATTTACAATTTTTAAATATTAAATAATAAAAAATTAATTTTCAAAAAAATTAGATTATTACTCTTAATCTAGTTCAAGTAGCCTTAATATTTGTGTTTACATTATCAAAAATTATTTTAGAATCTAAAAAAAGATAATATTTTTAAATAGCATATTGAATAAAGATAAATTTGTTATAAAATATATGTTTTTGGTTTCGTACTTGTTAAGATTTTTTTTATCAATAAAATTTAATCAATATAGAGATATATAATCAATTTCAATTTTAACTATTTAGAATGTTATAACTCAAACACATTCAGCAACAAACTGATGTTAACATGAAAATAGAAGAAAACATGTTACTGATTGCAAACGAAAATTAATTATCTGAAGATGAACACACAAGAAATGAAAACAGTTAAAACTTCATATTAGAGCCTTCAACAAAAAATATTATAAGGTTTAAATGAGATAGAAATTACATTTAAAATTTAAAATTCACCAGATGTTAATAAAATTTCTATTAAAATTACCCAACATGATGTTTAATGATTTTTTGGGTATTTTTTTGAAGTTAAAATTCTGCTATTCTGGGAATAATAATATTGATATAGAAGTTGCAAGGCTTTGTGATGAAGATTACGAAAATTATGTATAAAACAAAGCATATCTAGACATCAAACTAGGTTTTGCAAATGATTTCACTTGCTCATACAAAATTTATATATCATATATATGATTGATTTGCTTTTCTTGAATTTTAATATGCTTTAAAAAGATGCTCCTTTTAGAAAAAAATCAATTACATTTACGTTTGAATTATTTTTAAGATATACGTGTGGAACATGACATCTTAATAGATTAAAAGTAATGAACTGTGTGATTGATGTGAGATTGGCAGCAAAAAATAAAAATTATTTCCAACTTCCGCATATTAAATTTGCGATGGTCTGCTTTTTCATTTTAAATTTCATGATGAAATCGTTCAATATATTTTCAAAGTGTCAAATGGCTGAAATCTTTCATAAAAAATTTATAAAAAAAGTAAGATTTTTCTCTATTTGAAAATTTTAATTCTTTCTAATATAAAATTTTCTGTAATGAAAATAGAAACTAACATGTCAATTTGAGTTTAATTATAATATTAAATTTATTTTTAAATTAGACTGGACTACTGTATGTATAATATGATGCAAAGAAAATAATTCTTCTAACAGTATTGGTTTGTGTGAAAATAGAAAATATAAAAATTTTAGAAATTAGAAATTTTAATACTCTTATATAAATGCAGAAATGAAGATTCATCCAAATTGATTATGTTGTGGCTGCAAAGTAGCTTAAAATCATCATATATATATGAGATAAAGTAAGTCTACACTACATACTAAAGAACTACGTAGTCAATAATCTAGTGAAACTTATAAATATCATGTACCACTGTATCACACATAGATAATCTTATGATGAGCTTAAGCCTTTAGACTTTGATTGGAAATTTCAATTTTGCTGATAGTGTTTACAACATTAATATAATTAGATATGAAATACAATGCATTGTGAAAAAATGAAAAGTACATTTTATGAAGTTTGATTGAAAAATTATAACTTTTGGCTCTGACTTACCTATGAGTTATAATGTAAAACTTACTTATTTAATTTTTTCCTTTAAATAATATAGCTGAACTACATACAAAGTGACAGAATTTTTCGACCCAACTATATAGTCAGGAATTACTTTGTAGGATTAGTTATTGTATTATTCAGCTTGGTATTGTGACTAAAGATCGAATTGAGCTAGGTATACTTGCTATTTGCTAACAAGGAGTTGTATAAATATTAGTTTTATTATCAATGATAGAATATGTAAACCTTCATTATGAAAAATCATGTATATTCATACGTGTGGTTGTGTACTACTGGTGAATCATATAATACCTATATTTGTGTTTATCATTATGTTGATTGCACAGTTAATTTGTTTGAAAACAATACAAAATAAAAATTATATGGAACTATGTAAAAAAATTTCTTCAATTCAAACGTTCTGTTTAGTTACATACATGGTTTTTTTCAATTGAAATTTTTTATGCAGTGAAGATTCTGTCTTATAACTTGTCTATGAAAATAATAATCAATCACCAGTCCAAGACTTAAATAGTCGAATAGGAATTAATAAAATGATGTCTCTTCGCTTTAATGTTCCACTAAGGTTAGAATGACTTATGAAAGAGAAACCGCACATATACAGAATAGAATTTGATTATCTTTTGGAAGGGAAACAATTGTTTGGATGGAAATTTATAACATCAAACTGCAGCACATTGTCATCTTCTGTCATCGGCGTCACTACGCCTCGGGCTCTTGTTAAGCATTGACAGATACCAGGCAGACAAGGGTGACTGTCCCGGACATGCCCCAACAGCCAGAGGCCGAAAGCAGACCTCTAAACCGTTAAGGTGAAAGAAAGGCATTTATCCTTCCGGAGGTAACACAGTTAGAATTCACCGTTAATCTTACAGTTAGCGGTAGGTGAACGTCCACCGGCGCCGGGAGTTCTTTGTTCTCGTGCTGCTAAACTCGAATTCCAGGGATCAGAAAATCCCGGGAGCACTAAGGGACAGGCCTCAGCTCGAGCCGAGGCCTGTACCGGTACCTGTACCGAGGGCAAGGAACATCTCCTTGTCTCTCCAGTTTAATCCGTCACGCGCCTCACAGCGATCCCGGGACGGTACCCCTGTACCGATTCGGGGAAGGGAGTGGGACGGGAACGGGAAGTACCGAGTTCCATTAAACGGTACGTCGTCGGGACTAAGGGCCTCTTGTATTCGCATCGCACGTGTCAAAGTCCGCGTCCAAGCACGTGGACCGAACCCGACCCAGACATGCCAGGCCATTAGAGAGCTGATTAGGGACTGGCGAGCGTTAGGGAGGAAGGGACAGGGTTGGAGAGAGGGGGGTGTACCTGTACTGTTGAGGGACGGTTTACGCGGCGGATCCATGTGTGGAGAAAGGGCCCCAGTGTATGGCGCCGCTCACATGGCCTCCCCCCCTGCCGCCGTCCGTGGTCCTGACCACGTCACGGCTCACCCTTGCATCTCGCTCTGCAGTCTTCACGTGGTACTACTCTTAACCCATTCGCCTCGCCCTTAACAACGCTTAAGCCTCTCGCCGTTAAGGTCCCATCTACTCCCGTTGTGTACAAGAACCGCTCGTTCTCCAGCGTTCGCCATCCGCGCCAGTACGAGGAGCGCGGTGGCCCTCACAGTGCCCAACTTGGAAGCCGTAAGGGGCCGCAACCAACAGCGTAACGGACAAAGCCATAACGGGAACCTCACCGTCCCTTCGCCTGCTTCTATCCTGCAGCCCCCAACACTTCCGAACCTCCGAGTCCCCCCCTCGCCACTGCTCAATCATTCTCGAGCTCACGGCGTGAGATGCTGGGCTTCTGCAGTAGGGCCTCGCGGACGGAGGGACGCCCGGAAAGGGTCGAATGTTTACTGTCATAGGACTCGGAAGCGGAGGAATTTAACGGGTGGGCCCCACGACGGGGCGTCGATCTCGTGGGCGGGCAGGCCCGAAGGGGAAACCTGGTAAGAAGGCGGGTGCGGTTAGTTACCTGGTGGGGTGGAATGGGACTCTCGGGTGCGGTTTGCCTTTCGGCCAGTGCGGCGTCAGCGAAGTTGCTGGCAGTGGTGCGAAGCGAAGCGGCCATCTCGGATGCCCGGGGATCGAGAGGCGAATGACACGTGTACATCCGACCACTAACAGAACGGGGTTAACCAGGCGGCTTAACAATTAGGAGGTGGAAGCCTAACGCCCGGAAGTAGATAGAGTGTCCGAGCGCCGTCACAAGGGAGACGATGGTTGGATTTGACTGGCGGCGACGGAGGGTGGGGGCCGTGGGGCGATGGCGGATGAGTGAAGATTACCGAGGAGATTTTGGAGTAAGTCCAACGCTGGATTGCTGGAAAGAGTGCGGCGCGGGCATGAGAAAAAGGGCCCACGTAGGATGAGACCAAGTGATTGCAAATCGAAGGGTGAATAGTGTCATTTCAACTGTGTGCAGAGGGAGTGAGAAGGGGAGTGAACGAGAGAGGAGAAAAAGAGGAGAGGAGAGGATCGGGCCCCACAAAGCCAGAGAGCAAGGAGAGTCTGTGACAGATTTACACACATCTGCAACTCTGGGTCCGCTTTCTCCTCGAACCTGTGCTCCTGCTTGGGGTTGCTCCTTCCGCTGCCTTGTTGTTCGTTCACCGAGTTCGAGGGTGTTGCTCTAGACTGCTCAGATTGGAGCACCTTCCTGGGAGTGACTGCAGCTGCTGGCCTGCAGCTGCAGCAGCAGCAAAGCAGCAAAGCAACCGGATCACCGCAGGGACTTCCTGCTTGGCCTGTGCCAGGTGCAGGTCCTCAGCTTGTGCTAACGCTTGTGTGTTGTGCAACTTCTCGACATCGTGGAACTGAAGGAATTTGCTGTGGTGCGGAGGGACGGAGGACGTACCACATTTCTTCCATTCCACCGGGCTTGGGTTGGATCCTGTGCTTCTGTCGACTGTCGAATGTCTCTCACTCGATTCTTAGAAAGCTGCAGATTAATCCTTTCACCTCAGAATCCATCCCTCCGCCTCCGCCTTTTGCACAGAGAGAGGAGAGGTTACGTTGCCAGATGATTAAACTTTTCCGTGTTTCTGCCGTCGGAGTGTTAAGTGGAGTGCAGTCTAATATAGCAGCGGCAGAGGCCTAGAAACGGACGGAAATAAGTGGATCCGAGTAATTTTGAGGGACCCCTTCTGAACAACTGAGGTGAAATTAGTGCGTAAGACTGCGACAGCACAATCAGCAGCAAGTGCCCAGGCCAGTGCCTTCACAGTATCCGAAGCAGTGGGCATCTTTGGCTGCAGGTGTAATGGCTTGAATAAGTTCCGAAATTCCTTCCATTAGTTGGACGGAAGTGGCTCCAGTCCTGCCTACTTGAGGATTCTGGACGTCGGAGACTCAAAGGAGAAGATTGGTTTCTTGCTTACTTTTGCAATCGTCAGGATCTGCCAGTCTTTGGGCATTAAGATCGACCAGCTGACGGTAAAATTCATATTCGATGTGAGTGCAACAGTGGGAGGTCCAAACTCCCATCATCAACTGCTCTTGGGTCCCACTGAGAACCGCAATTCTATTGAAGCTGCCAGTAGCTCACGCGGAATCAGTAGGTGCTTGGACTCGTCCATGCATAAACAGCATAGCACAGGTACAACGACAACGGTAAAGTCCTGGGATAAAAAATTACGTAGCTGATCCATTCAGCCTGAGTCGACATCGGTACAAGTCAACTGCCTGAGAACAGCTGCTGCAGAACAACGAGAAGAAAGCTGGAAGCCAATGATCAGATGCTCACCCTCTGGGTCTGGTGACTCTCCGAAGCCCATCTTCTGTCACAATCCTGCAAGAAGTGGTAGGTGGAATTTCAAGGGTCGAGCTACGTAATATCTCGTGTTAACATACAGGTAATCAGATAGTTCCTCTAGAGCCAACGGTTGATAAACAGCGATCGACGAGACAAGCAAACGAAGACGACGAGGAGGAGGACGAGGAGAAGAAGAGCACTGGAGCCTAAGACCATCACAAAGAGAGAGAGAGCGTGCATCAAAGCTCTGATCAGAGAAATAGATTCACCTAAATTCAAAAGCGAAGGAAAGGGTTGGCTGGATCGATCCCGTCGGCATGAGCAGTAGTGGAGCACCGTGCGGGGCTTGCAAGTTCCTGCGCAGAAAATGTGTTCGCGGTTGTATATTTGCTCCTTACTTCGGTGCGGAGCAAGGTGCTGCTCGCTTTGCAGCTGTGCACAAAATTTTCGGGGCCAGTAATGTCGGAAAGCTGCTTCTACACATTCCTCTGGGCAAGCGGTGTGATGCTGTCCTCACTATCAGCTACGAAGCCCAGGCTCGACTCTCAGACCCGGTCTACGGCTGCGTCGCCACCATATTCGCTCTCCAACAGCAGGTAATACTACATGGTACAAGCATCCTCCACATACACCTCCCACATCAGATAACCATTCATCTGACATACATTGCAAATGCCATTTTTCATGGATTGTTATGGATATTTATCGTTTCTGCTGGGGTGCACTGTTTGCTTCGTATCACCAGTACCCATAACCCGAGGATGCACAACTTGATATATGAATGCACATATTTCGACCAGATATTTGAGCAGATGTGCTATGTTTAGATTCGATGAATGGACTAAGTGACAGATTCTCATCACTATCATCTCTTAGTTGTACATGTGCTGATGATTATCAAGGAAACAAATGCCACTTCTGATATTCGAGTCCAAAGATCAACATGAAGGCCAGTAATGTTGGCTTCGTTGACGTGCGATTGAAGCTGGATAGATGGTATGAGGACTCTCGTTGACCACAGGTCAACGACCTACAGTCGATGTCCAATTAGAGATCGGGTCCGGTTCGAGAACAGCTAGTGGACCAGCACTGTATATGAAGCTAATCACGTCGAATTCCAGGCCGAAGTGTTTGGCCTGGTTTGCTGCTAGTAATTGTCAGATTACAGTTCCTTCTCTGTGGTCACAATGTGAGCCCATTGTCCAAGGAAATGGATGAAGTTTCCGCACAGACGGACGGACGGGCCCCGCGTTCATTCGTACATGCATGCATGCAAGCCTTCCTGCACACAATCAATAAATTGGTCCACATTTGATGCTCATTTGCAGTTACGTTACGTCGCTGCTTGCATCACGGGCGCACAGAATAGGATCTCACTAAGATTTCCAGTCTCACATATTCCTCATTTCTTCCAGACCTGTTTCTGCTATTTGTTGCGTAGGCAACAGTTACTTCGTCATGTGCACGAGCTTCTTCTGTTATAGATCTTTCCTCTTTCGATCCACCACTTAGTGTTGTCATTACTTTCGAGAGGACTTTGTGCGCGTGGTCTATAACGCAATGAAGGGATAGAGATAGACTTGGGGTTTCTTTAAACGCTGCATTTCTGTAATTCGAATCCTTGGACTCACCCATTCATGAGCGGATGCATAGCTAGAGTCAATGGCTGCAGCTTCTGCGGCCACAAGCATCTTCCGTCACGACAGCAGTGATGCGAATTCAGACTCGTGAGAGTGGATTGTGTGATGGGGGCGTGGAGTATGAAAACATCCTTCGCCGATATGCGAAATCAGAGATCCCAACTGCCATCGAGCTACCAGGATCCTCATATTGTCCGCAGCCGTCATGTTCGTGGATGTGCTGACAAAGATGGGCAATATGATTGCGTATTGATTATTCGACCACCATGGCCTTCTTCTGAGTGCCGTCCTTTCTGTGTGACTGCATCAGTTACGTCACATTCCAAACATTTTCTGGCAGCCCTGGAAATCTTGACCTGGAACGTTTCTGTCTTCTGCCTTTCTTGGACCACTTCATGAGAATCTGGAGCAGAAAATAAACATGCGTAACACCCCACTCACTTTCGGCGTTTTCCCCTAATGCGAGGCGATCATGTCTTTAATCTAACTGTCCCACAGCTTCCAGTACGCTTCTTCGATCCCTGATGAATGCTTGAGGATGGCGTTGTGAGTCTCATTCCCACCTTAGTGCAGGTGTCAAGGTTTCCCCGTAGATCATGTCAGATCCACTTTTCTCCTGGCTTTCTTTCGTTTCAGACTTTTAATTTTGGTTCCGCGGTATTATTTTGCTCAGTCACGAGGTCGGCGTGGTAGTTGTGTGTCTCGATGGCAAGACGCACTTTGATCGATATCGAGATCTGATTCCACAGAGGAAACGGTTGCGGAGGGTAATTAAGGTGAGGAGTTTGGTGAGCGAAAATCTAGGTAGATCCAGCTTCGGTCTGGGAAGATAGCCGAGCAGTGAGAAGAGCGTCAGACGACCAAGCTAGTCAGTGACCCACACGATAAGAGGCTAAAATCTATAGCGAAAGGTGATCCGTGGTAGACAGTTGGACTGGAGCTTGGACGCTGCTGGTATGCAGCATTGGGCGGAGGGCATTCCTTCGCCTGTGTATGGATATTGTTAGATGCCCAGAATTCTTCGATCTGAGGGCGAGGTGCATGTGTGGATAAGTCAACAACAGGAATCAAGGACAGTACATTCGCTTCCACTGATTGCTGTTTGATTTTTGGCAGGTGGCGAGCTTGCAGGCAGAGTTGGCCATTGTACAGGCGCAGCTGGCCAGCCGTTTAGCAGTGGCAGCGTTACAGCAGCAGCAGCAGCAACACCAACAACATGGGGGAGGAGGCGCTGGCGGATCATCATCGATGCCTTATGTCGAGCAAGGAAGCATGACACCCGGGGGCGTCACGGCGGGCATGTCCATGGCTGGAAGCTCATCGGTTGGATCTTACGCCAACCGCATAAAGGAAGAATCCTATCATCATGGAATGCATTGCTACGATCCCGGACATCACCACGGTGTTCATCTCGACCAGATGACTTCCAGCCCTCCTGACGACATGGAGCCTCAGGACCTCCACAAAAGAGGCTCCGACTCGATGGATCCGCAGCAGAGTGGGGCGACTGGAGGTGGAGGTGGAGGAGGAGGAGGAGGAGACATGGGGGACCTGCAAATTCTGGCCCAAGCGCTTCTCAGCAGCCGCAAATGATCATTGCGATCATGATCATCGTATCATCATGAACTCATTAAGACCGATCGAATCCTGCATGCAACAACGATTGATCATGAGATCTCGAAGCCCATCATCTGTCTACTAGCTACTCACTCCAACTGCAGCAGCAGCATCGGTATTTTCTTCAGAAGACAATCAAACGGCAGCAGAAGTTAGAACATCAATCGTAACAATGGAATGGAATGGAATGGAAACCGTCATCATGCTGCAGTTGATGACGAACTCTTCTTCCTCCGAGTAGAGAGAATCATGACCTTGGCGGTGCACTGTACTGAACTGGTTGACCAAAAGCAAAACTCTTGCTTGAGAGAGTGGAGGTATATCGTTAGAGTAGAGACGTAAGTACATATAGAATCTGATAATCAATTGTAAAGAGATTGTACTACGACCAATACATTGGTGGTGCCAGTCGGAGTCACTATTCGTGTCTCCCTGCCACGGCAATCTCTCTGAACATGATGGGCTTGGCAGCTCAAGGGTGAGGTACTAAATGTTAGTTCGATCCTCCATCCTCCACCCCTGCCTCCCTGGAAAACTGAACAAACATACATGAATTCATACGGAGCTAGACTATACTAACTCACAAATTCTCCTCTACGTACTCTTACACTACTGGTTCTACTGTTCTAAGTTTGGTCCAGCAGCTGCAGTTGACCTTGGAGGTGCAGTTACTACTGAAATAGTTCCGTCTTGCCTGGAAGAGGAGCTCGAACTTTCTTTTGCTTCACCAACTGGAGCTTCACTCTAAGCTTAGGTAGATAGGTACATAGATAATAGATAGATAGTCAAGACGAAGATTACGTGGAGTGTACTAATATAAAATGCTATTTAGGCATTGTATACAGCTTCAGGGATAAAGTCCACCATGTAAAATTGTTACTCATTGCTTCCTTTCATAAAGAATTATTGTACAAAGCAGTGTAATTTGAGGAGCTTTTGAGCTTCAGATGAGCACCATACACATCTATGCGACGATCTATAGCATTGATACCACTCCTGCAGGCGGTAGGTATATCTACTTCGATGGTGATAAGAGCTATTCAGTTCCGTTCCTGCCATCATTCGAACGACCTGCTCAATTTTCTTGACGTCCGTGTGGCAAGAACTCAGAAGCAATCAAACTTTGGGCACTCCTCGGGTTCTTCAAGGTAGCAGGCATACAGAAATGGTTGAACGAAGATTACGGATGTTTCTTTCCCACGGTTGGATATGCAGTGATCGCGTTGTCTGAGTATGAGATTCCTCAACTAAGCAACCTCCAGCGATGAGAAATCTCTTGAATCCTTGGTCGGATTGAGACTTTGCGCAGCTTTCGGCTGAAAGATTATGGGCAGTCAGGAAGTCTTCAAGATCTAAAGCCCTGGATCCATGATTGACTTTCTAGTCTCAATTAACATTCCGAATTCCGGTCCGTTCTCTTGGTCCAAGTTGTGTCAGATACACTCCATGGCTGTGCTTATGACCTGCAGCAGCTGTTGTATACCAAGTTTCCAAAACGTTGTAGCTTCGAATCGACCATTCTCTGACAAATGAATACAATGTTCCTACTTATTTTCTACCTTCGAGCAAAGAAGAGTTGTTACAGTTACGGCCACCCCAATAACTGCATGTATGGCCTGGCACAATCCCGACGACCTCCACTTGATAGTTCTGGCTTCTCGGTTTCAACGGCTGTCAACGGCTTCATTCATGGTCGAGAAGATTGAAGGTGAACAACACTCAAGCATTGACGTGGTGTGAAGAAAACGGGTGCACGAGACTTCACGCATGTTTTCAGACGGCTACTGTTGAAGGACGCGAGCCAAAACCTGCAAGAGTAGCCAGCTTCGTCGAACCATAAATTTGTAGCAAGGCGTGTTTGGTTGGTCCGTTCGTCGAAATACATATTAACATTGCCGAAAGGTCCGGTGCTGCAGCTTTTAAATATAACTTGATTACAGGGCTATAAACCTCGTCCTCCTCCTTGAATCTGGATGAGAGAAGATCGTCTCCTGTGGCCCCAAGATCTGATTGGAGTATAGTAAGATCTCCTTGGAAACGGCACAACGGGCACCTGTGTAACACTACACTGCCGCAGAAATCGCTTCTGCGTCTGTGGCAGCAGTACAGATTATTTTGTTCTGGTATTTCGTAGATTCTATATACGCTTATGTCTAGCAAACGGGACAATTAGGACTTAGAGCAAGTTCAGTCACCCAACTGCCCTCCCTCAGGGTCAGAAAATATGTCATAGGCTACACGATACTGTAAGAGAATGAGTAGGCAACAGTTTATAGTCCTGTATACTCGAAACAGTGCACCTGACGGTCCTGCACATAACACGAAAGGCACAGTGTCAACACGAAAATGCATTTAGCATGAGATGGCAGCTGCAGAACAATCCAAGCCAATCGGCTCTGAAGCGCTCTGGTCGACTTTACGCAGAAACTCGGTATGCCCAGATGAGAAGTATTTATCTGTCTGAGAGAAGCAGTCAGCTGATTTCTCAAAAGAGGAAAGGTCATGCTTCTAAATGGACGTCTTAGCAAATTGTGGAGGAATTATAATGGTGTGAGACCAGGCAATCCGCGTCTTTCAAGCCAATTACAAATACATCACAAAGGGTCTGTAGAACCAGATCCGATCGAGTAATGTACCTGTTTTAGACTCATATAAAGACACCGGTTAGAAGCTCAGAAGTTGCGCTACTAGATGCCAGAGGAGGGAGGCAGACTTAAGGAGGTCAAACCACACTCACCAACTCTTCCACTTGAAACCCAAGGACGGCACATCCTACAAGTGTAAAGTTGTTCAGACCTACTCTGTCATATGACATACTGCAGGAGTCTCAAACTCAAAACAGAGAAAGTCCAAGGCCCGTACCACACAGCGGAGGGACATAGACAACCTAAAATTGAGGGAAGATATGAAGACTGGGCTAACGTGCGAGAGGGTCCAGAGCCGTGGTACACGTGGTACAATACTTTGTGGCATCTGTGGGATGTTGGACGTTCAAGCTATTCAAATATTCCCACCTGGTACCACCACTAAATTGTCGTTCACTTAGGCAGCACCATGGAGGAAAGTGTGTTCAAAGGAAATGGAAACAGTACGTAGCCATTGTAGTTGTCATCAAGAATTTCCTGTTGTTGTCTGCGGTAAATTGACCGTATGTGGATAATCGATGGGCCTTCAAGAGGAAGTATAGTTTATGCCAACAAAAGTACACATATCCTCTATGGTCCCATGACCCACCAATGCCCACCATCACAATATGCCTGAATCAGCTGCCATTACCTCCCATCTATATTTGCAAGGATCACAGGGACACATTGTTGTCTTATATCGAAAGGGCAGAGTGAGACAATTTCGATAAATTTGGAATTTCTGCAAGGATAGGGAAGTTTCAGGGAATTCGTGTATCTTCAATTTGAGTCGCCTGGGTTGTCAAATGTCATATTGAGCACAGGTATTGATCCTGAGACTCCATTCTTTTCCGTCGGACTTGATTGAATCTTGGATTTCGCGTGAAGAAAAAATCTAATTATCTTGAACTCAACAGCAGTTATGCCGACAGGAGAAGCTGTCCGCATAAAGACTTTGAAGACGCGGAAGTCCACAGGACATGGCACTATGCTGGTGCAACACCTGGTACATATTGCTTAAAGCACATCTTCGCATGCTAAATTTTATACAGAGTTAAACCTCCCAATAGTGACATGTATTGGGTTTTATGTCACTATTTGGAGCTGTCACTCGAAGTAGTATGCACAGCTTATCCACCTCATCCGAACAGTTAATTGTTTCGTGCGTTGTTTTTGTTAGTTTTTCTCTCTCAATGCTGTCACATGTTATGCACACATGTCTAAACGTAAGCGATTGGACTTGAAGAAGAAGTTGACGGTTTTTAATTTTCTGAATTAGCCTGAAGCCATCCATGAGCAAGCGGCATGAGCATTTTTTATGGCACGTCCAATTGTCACAAAAATCTGGAAGTACAAAGAAGTTATCAAACAGGTGGTCTTAGAATCAAATCGAGATGGTGCATCAATGGCATATTCGTGTTGAGATAGATGCGCACACGCTCAATGTGACTAGCAAGATGCTAAAAAAGAAGGGGGTTTTTTTTAGATAAGATTTTGCTTGACTTTATAGAGTGTTTGACATTGTCAGATACAGTTTTACTTCGGACATTTGTCGCGGCAAATGGATGGTTGGAGAAGTACCTGAATCACATCTCTTACTGGATGTTGAAGTGAGGGGAACAAAACACTCTTAGTTTCATGTAGGTGAAAAAACTTTTTCATAAAGTTTGCAAAATGCTCATCGATGTACCACTTGAATGCATTATCAACATTGACGAGTCGGTTTTACAGACTCGCACAACATCATCAAGATCATATTTCAGAGTCAATTCGGATGGTAGTGGAGTCAAGCAAAGCAAAGAACAAATCACATTAACGATTGGAGTTAGCGCTTCAGATAAAAAATTTATCACGCAGGTTATCACAAAGATTACTTGTCCACGTGCTTTGAAGAATATTTTGAATATCAGTAAGGTGTTCGGAATTTTCTATGATCATCAATCTAAAGCCTAGCATGATACATCGTCCTATATGCGCCTGCTTCACAACTGCAACAAAATTGCCTAGCATGATACATTATTCTATATGCGCCTGCTTCACAACTGCAACAAAATTGCCTAGCATGATACATTGTTCTATATGCGCCTGCTTCACAACTGCAACAAAATTGTCTAGCATGGTGTATCGTCCTATATGCGTCTGCTTCACAAGTGCAACAAAATAGCCAAGAACCGCAACCGCATCTTTTATATACTCCAAGACAATTTTTTATCACATGTTTGTGCGTAAAAAATCTTAGATCCATCCAGATCAATAGAAACTTTTTTCTGATTTCAGAACTTTTGCATTATTTTTTTCCGCCAAATGCTACCAGCGAATGTCAATCTATTAATCAAAGTATTATTCGGTCTTTGAAAGCGCATTTTTGTCGTGCTCAACTGAATCACCTAATGTCTGAGTATGAAATGTGGCAGGCGAGTGAACGTGCATCTCATTCTCATTTCCGATCAATGATCATACACACATGCGCAACGTACTTGGTTGGATTAAATTAGCATCCGATGGTATTGAGGTGAATACTTTTTGATGGTGTTTTGTTAAAGCCAATTGCCTATATCTGTATACAACGTGACTTCTAACCAATATAGATTGATTAGCTCTCGGTACAAGTCAAGCTGTGGATGACTTGATGAAAATTTTGCGAGAAATTTAACTGAATCATTCTTTTTAGGTGTTCTTAGGTCTTGAAAACACAAATATTGAAGAAGCTGCGGAAGATTTTATTGAAATTGATGATGTTGATGTTAGTGGCGATGACCATGTTGCCGATGTTTGTATTGTCAAATTAATACTGGAACAACACCATCTTCTGCAGAGTGCCAGCAATTCAAATGATGATGATGTTGGTGAGTGTTTTGACTTTGATGACCGTCGAACAGGCGAATCGTGCAATCACTAATTTGATCAATGTTTTTCCTATTGAGTCATCTTTATCGACGCAACTTCAGAGTAATTTGCTTTTCAATCTCCATAGAGCTCGTCATCAACAGAAAATTGAGAAAGTTAGATTTTTGAAGCAATCGACAATATGATACAATAGGTTGTAAAGTCTTTTTGTAGGATTTGATAATTTTCAAATTGAATTTTATTGAAACTGCGAATTTTGAAGTTTTGAGATTGAAGCTTTGTTAATGCTTTTCTAAATTTTGTAAATTGCAAATGTAAAATTGAATGAAAATTAAGAGCATGAAGCTATGTTTATAATGTTGATATCTGTTGGATTGCATGCACGTCACGTTTTCTTCATCTAACTCTAGTCACCGCAGTATCAACAAGTTCAATT